TCATCGTGTACGTGAGGCGCTTGCCGTTGCGCAGCTCGACGCCCTCGATCTCCTTGCCCGGGAGTGCGATCGCGCATAGGACACACCAGAAGTACCACGCGAGGTAGACGGCGAAGACCTCCCAGCTCCACAGGCTCTCCCACCACTGCGGGTCGTGCATGGCGCGCCACCCCGCCGCGTGGAACTCGGCGAACTTGCTCAGCTGGAAGTTACCCGCTGCGGCGAAGGGCAGCCCTGTGGGAGCCGTTCGAGGGTGAGCCTTTGTTGTGGGGGGAGGGAGAGGAGGAGGAGGAGGAAGGAGGGTGCGCACAGTATGAGAAGAAGGGGACGGAGATGACGACGCCGAGTGCGCCGAGTGGGCCGCCAAACTCGTAGTGAAGCGACTTTGGCGCCGCCTCGTACTTGACGGGAGGAGAGGGTGCCATCGTTCGATGAGGGGCTGCAAGTCGAAGAAGGGCGTCGGGTGCGAGTTGAGCCGCGCAGTAGCTCGAGTAGGATCGCTGCAGAGCTGTGCGAGCTGCTCGTGAGCTGGGCGATGCGGAGAGTGAGGTGAGATGCGGGCGGGAGGTCAAGGCACGAAGCGCCAGGCGCCGCCCGTCGCGAGTCGGAAGATCGAACGACCTGCAGCTCTCTCCTTTGGTCGCGCGCGCTCGATCGGGAATAGAACGACGGCGAATGGTATGGCACAGACAGACAAAGCGGGTAACGAACAGCAAAACAGAGAAAGCAGGCAGAGAAGAGGGCTGTCGGCGCCTCACCCCGGACTCCGACTGGACGTCGACGGGAACCTCTTCCTCCAAGCTCCACCAGGCGCGCGCACGCCTCACTTCTTCGTCTTGACCTTCTTTTTGCGCGGCTGCTCGTCTTCCGACTCGGAGACGGGGTCGAAGCCGTCGGCCGCGCCCGCCGCCACCTCCTCGTCGAGCGTCTTGTCCTTTGCCTTCTTGGCCTTCGAGCTGGCCTCGTACTGTGCGTTGAGCTCGTCCTGGGTCATGAAAGTCGTCTTCTTGTAGAGTGACACGGGGAGCTTGCTCGGGTGCTGCGAGTCGATGCCGAGGAGGGTGAGGACGTCGGGCTTGAATGACTGCGACGTCATTGACAGGTCCTTGACGAGCACCTTGAAGACGTCGCCGACCGCGTCCTCGTCGTACGAGTCGTCGCAGTAGACGCAGACGACGAACGAGCTGCGCTCGCCTTCGATCTTGGGCGTCGTCGCGACCTTGGCCGTGTGGACGTGGCCCGTCTTGGCGAGCGCGCCGTCCTTGTCGACGATGGCGCGCACGAGCTTGCTCCACGTGAAGTCGACGTTCTCCGACTGTGGGTAGAACAGCCACTTGCCACTGAGGACGTGATGCTTCTGCGCGAGCTCCTTGACGTCGGCCTTGAACTGCTCATACGTCTCCTCGCGCACTGTCACGGGGGGAGCATGGACGGGAGAGGAAGCGGTACGAGGTGAGGGTGCGAGGAGCGGTCAGCGCAGGGCCTTGGTGTGCGAGCAGAGTGCGCCCGACTGACGGTCCTTCTGCGAGCGCAAACCCTTGGACTTGTTGGCGCGCACGGGCGCCGTCTCCTTGATCTCGTCGAGGCGAGCCATCATTTTGTCGACGAGGGGCTGGCCCTCCTTCGTGAGCTTGACGTAGGTGTCGTCCTCCTCGCCGAGTTCCTCGCCCGCCTTGCCCTCCGTGTCGTCCGCGTGCGGCAGACGGACCCACAGCCAGGGACCGGGGACCTCTCCACTCGACGGCTTGTGCTTGGCGAGGAAGGCGTCGATGGTGTCCTTGTCTGCGGGTCCCGTGAGCTGTGCGGGCGAGCGTCAGCCCAGCTCAGGGCTTTGCGGCGAGGAGGGGGTGGTAGGGAGATGAGGCGGTGCAGAGAACGAGGTCGACTTGCCGTGGCTGAAGGTGGGTACGAAGGCAGTCAGCACGGGCGGGTGCCAAGTCTGGATGAGGTCAGCGTACGCATAAAGTCCATCTTGGGCCGCTCGGCAGGTCGGGTGGCGCGGAGGTGGAGCAATATCCAGCGATGCGATGAGGGTCTTCGTCTCCCGGCTACTCGCGCGCTCTGTCAGTGCTTTGTACCTGGTCGCCCTCAAGTCCGTTGCTCTGTCCGCTAACCAGGCGCTGTGAGCCCCCGGCGACTCGTACCTCGCAGCCGGTCATGCCTCGCCGTGGCTCGACCGAGTCGCCTTCAAGCCAACGCCAGATCTTCGCGACTCGCAAGGGACGTGACGCTCGTCCGCATGCACACCCCGTGCTGGAGCGCTGGACGGTGCACAAGTCCTGGACCAGCATGCCTGTTGACGAGTCCGGATGCCCCTTCGGTTTCCGGCATGGGAACGCGTCCGAACGCGTGTTTAGAGGCTCCGCGACGGCTTGGGCACGCTGCTTGTTGCTCGCTGCTTGTCCTGCTCTCCCTTGCTCGCTTCCTCAGTCCGTCGTACGCGCGAGACGCCGTCCCGTCGCGCATCCTTGCAGACGCCCGTCAGACTCGCCCCACCCGCCTGCGCTCTCCGCTCACCGGCGTCCCCGTTCAAGACGCGCGATCGTGCCGACCTTCTCACCATGGCGCGACCCTCGCACGAGTACATCGCCATCCCCAGCACGCCGTCACTCGCTCACCGGGGCTCGTTCAGCTCTGCCGCGTCAGACTCGCCCGTCGAGAAGGACGAAGCGGCACACGACGCCGTGAGTCTGTCGACGCTTCCCTGTCGCTCGCTTCGATTCGCTGACATAGACCACTATCTCCCTCTCAGCGACCGAGCTACGACGCAGCGTTCCGTACTTGGGCGCTGGCCGTTCAACGGCGGCAGCTGCGCTACTTCCTCGTCCTCCTCGCCATCTGCCTCGCCATCTTCCTCCGCGTGCTCGCGTCGCCCTCCTCGTTCTCATTCTCCATCGCACCCTCCGCCGCCTCCTCCTCTCGCGCCGTACCCAACGTGTACCATCCGACGCTCGTCGGCCCTCGGTCCCGCTTCGCCGCCGACGGGTCCTCCACCACGGCGCAGTGCTCGACAGACGAGTTGCTCGAGGCGATCAAGGGCGCAAAGGTCCGGCCCGACGGTGCGAGCACGCACCCCAACTTTGGCCAGCCAAAGACCGTCGAGCTGGAGCCGATTGAGTGGTCTTTTGACCTGCCGCGAGGTGGTGCGCGCGAGGGAGAAGGTGCCGGCGTCGGTCGGCCCGCAACTTCGTGCGAGATGCCGAAGGTCTACTCGGCGGAGGAGGCGTGCGAACTGTTGAGCGCGTTCGGCGGGTGCGCGACCTTCCTCGCTCGCCGTCCCTCCGCGCCTCTCACCCGCTGACAGTCCGGGGCTGACTACAACGCTCACGTCCGCGCAGTCTCTACCTGACGGGTGACTCGTTCGGCCGTCATCTATACTCTGCGCTCCTCATGATCCTCCGCGGGCGCATCGACGGCGCCGTGACCGACTTTGAGACGACCGACGACTGCCGAGGCGAGCACATGTTTGACGACGGCAAGCTGTGCCGCAAGCGTGTCGCGTTTGACACGCGTGCTGGCTACCCTGTGTGCGGCGGAGCGACTCAGCTGTACTACGCGGCAATGTGCGTCGATCTCTCCCTGCGCTTCCCCTCGCCGGTCTCCGGCAAGCTGACGCCCGTCTCCCCGCCAGGTTCCACCCGGACACGTGCGGCAACTCTACGTTCGGTAGCCCGTTTTGCTCGCGACTGACCAATCTCGCTGTACCCCGCCTCGCAGCAACACGTTCAACCTGACGTACCGCGACTGGCACGCCCGGCTGCCTCAGCGCGCGCAGCTCTACTCGCCCATTTTTGTCACCGTGCGTGCTCGTCCCAAATGCCAATCTACATGTGCTACAGCGGCCTGACACCCTGCACTCTGCTTGACAGGCCTTCGGCGCGCACTTCAACTACGAGTTCTCGAAGCTCGAGACGGAGTGGTGGCCTGCGTCGGTCGACCACTTCTCGCGGCAATACCCTACGCCGCTGAACCTCTTTGCTGGCCCTCACAAGCCCGGCGACAACTTCCGGCCGCAGTTCATGGAGCGTGCGTCTTCTCCCTGCTTCCCCCGCCCTCCCCCCTCGCCGCGCCTGGACACCACCGTCCGCTCATTCGCGGGGGTCCCTGCCGCACCATATAGTCAGCGACTGACGCGTGCGAGTATCGCGCAGGCCAAGGTCCGCACAAGGTCCGCGCCTTCAAGCAGCAGGTCGAGCTGGCCATGCAAGCCCACAGCCCAGTCAGGGAGGCCGAGCTGGGCGGCTGGCGCTACCTCGACTACTACGGCATGAGTGAGGGTGCCAGCTCCTATGACGGGACGCATTATAGCTTGCAGGTGCGCTACGCCTCTCCCCTCCCCCCTCTTGTCCTGCTTGCCAGGGCCAAGCTCGTCGGCTGACCCTCGCTTGTGTCCTCCCTCCAAGGTGAACCTGGAAAAGGCGCATCTGCTCCTCAATGTGCTGGACACGCTGTGGGGCGAGATCGCAGCGTCAGGCGGGTTGGCGGTCCTCAAGAGTGCTACGAGCCCTTGGAGTCTGTAACGGGCAGTCGGATCTGTTTGAGTGGCGGCGCCGGGCCGCCTCTTGCGAGTGATGACTGTCGTTTCGCGCGTTTCATTCGGCTCGGCGTGGTCGCCACAGGCGTGGCTCGCTTGGGCCGCCTCGAATGCGTGTGCGCGCTGTCGCCGGCGGTGCTCGCCTGCCCTTCCATAGCTCCCGTTGGCATCTCGGGCGGCTGCGACAGGGGTCAACTCTGTGAAAGGCAAAGCGAATGATCCACTCGAGCGTTGGCGCACCCGATCCGCACCGTCATGCGAGCCCTGACTGTGCCTCGGTTCGACCTTCCCAAATTGAACCCGCCGCCTCCCTCCAGTCTCGCCAGGAGACCAGGGAGGCTCCGAGGGCTTCAGCAAGAGTCGGACACCAGTCTGGGCGAGTGCCGAGGAAGCCAGGCGGCGGATGCACGGCTCACAAAGCCGCTTTCCATACTACATGCAATTGCACGCCGAGCCCTCAAGCAAGTCTTCGATAGTATAGTGGCTAGTATATTGCCTTGTCAGGTGCCCTCACACGGCTCCAACGCGGCAGAGACCCGGGTTCAATTCCCGGTCGAAGAGAGATACCTTTTTTTGGTTGGGGACGCCATGATCCTTTTTCTCGCGCGTGCGTGACTCTGCTGCAGCCGCCCCTTGATTTGTTTTGCGCAGGCGCAGTTCAGCCAGGACGCGTCAGTATCTGCCGGAGCTCATGCTGGCTCTTCCACCGCAAGAGGCCATCAGTCCGAAGAGGGGCCTGCGAGCGCAGCACGCTTGCTGCGGACGTACCTGCATTGGCAGTGGCCCAGAGCAAGGACAAGGAACTTGAGCACTCGAGCCGCGGGGCGTCGGGACTGGGGAGAGGTCCGGGCCTCAGGAGGAGAGCATGCGCACTGAAGCTTGAAGAGGCGGACGCGCCCGAGAATCTCTCGAGCAAGACCCAGAGAGTGGGGGCAAAGAGTACGAGAGCAATCAGAGGGAAAGTGGGCAATCTGGATCGGGAAGACAGACCGCGCATGGCTCTTGAGGCCCGAGCGAGGTGTCCAGGTCGGGGTGGCCGTCCCCAAGAGCAGCTATTGGCGAGCACTGGACGCAAGTGTCGAGAGCGAGGCAAAATTGTACCACAGCAGGCTGAGTCGAATTGAGAGGGCGTAGCCTCAGAACGAGGCCGGCCGGTGCTTCTGCGCCCCGCATGAGGTGTCCAGCTCGGCGTGGCCATCCCAAAGGGTGGCTACCTGCCAGCGCGTGCAGTATAGGCTGTTGGGAGAGAGCACTGGACAAGAGTGAAAGCCTGGGTGTCGCCGCCCTCCGGCAAAGGCAGGCACGGAAGGTCCAAGGACGGGCAACAGCGAGCGACACGACGCAGACTCGCAATTGTGGAGCACACGCAGACCAACCAGGGCCCGCTAGACACGGCATTGAGGAGGCGTTGCAGGCTACTTCACCGCGGCAGGCCGTCATTCCGACGAAGGGCGCCGTCAGAGCGACACGGGGGACGTCCTCGCGCCGCCATATCGCGCTCCGGGTGCCCGACATGCGCTGCTGCTTGCAATCCACTGGGAGGATGTATCTGTTTCAGCAGGGAACAGGGGAAGCCCGGACGAAGTTGGCGCTCGGGTTGCAGGGCGGCGGACTTGGGTAGAGGGCCCGGGCGTCAGGAGGAAGGGGTCGAATGCCGAAGGGGCGGACGCACCTGAGGGCGTCGCGAGCATCTCGCAGGATTCAAGAGTGCATTCAAGATGTCGCTGCTCGCCGGACGTCGTCAGCGCGCGCATCCATCAAGTCGGCCTCGAGGCTGTCCCTCACGGCCAGCCAGCGCTCGAGGCTTGAGCGCTGCAGGTGCGCAAGAGAAAAGTGGGCGCTCTCGAAATAGCTCTCGCGACTGGCATGTGTGAAAAGTGCGCAAGCGTGTGTGCAGGGCCCACCGCTGGTGGGCGGGCAACAAAGTGAAGAAACAACAGTGGGGAAAGACGAACTCCTCCTCCTCCTCGCGACGACAGATGATCACTGGCCGAAACCGTCTGCAGTGCAAGCACGAATCCCGTCAGTGATGAGAGCACTTGACCGAAGGAGATAACGGACAAGAACGCACAGAGGGTCTTGCCGGCGCGCTTGAGGGCGTAGACGACGTCGAGCGACGTGACCGTCTTGCGCTTGGCGTGCTCCGTGTAGGTGACCGAGTCGCGGATGATGTCTGCGCGGAGCGGGAGCCACAGGAAAGGGTCAGCGACCGTGCGACTCGACTGCTCCTCGAAGGCAGGACGACTCACTCTCGAGGAAGATCTTGAGGACACCGCGCGTCTCCTCGTAGATGAGGCCCGAGATACGCTTGACACCACCACGGCGAGCGAGACGGCGGATGGCAGGCTTGGTGATGCCTTGGATGTTGTCGCGAAGCTGCGCGGGGGTGGAGGCGGAGGTCAGCACACGAGGCGCGTTCAGCGAGAGGCGCAACGAGACGGGCGACCCACGATCTTGCGGTGACGCTTGGCGCCGCCCTTGCCGAGACCCTTTCCGCCCTTTCCACGGCCAGACACTGCGAGAGGAGGGGATGAGGCGATGCGAGTCAGCGAGGTGTGACTGGGACACAGGGGGGCCGGCGCGCGCAGAAGGTGGCAAGCGAGCAGAGGGCAACGCACTGTTGAGTAGAGGTAAAGTTGAGGGGGGTGAGGTGGTGGTGGAGAGTGCTGGTGACGGACTGAGCCGAGGTGAAGACGAGAGCGAGTGGTAGGAGGGGAGTGGAGAGAAGAGGAGAGAGAGGGGGGGAGCGAGTACGAGCGACCAAGTACGAGCGCGGGAGACGCATGTTTGCGCTCGGGGAGGCTCTCGCGAAACCCTAGGGCGGCCTGAGACACTAGGTCGGACCCCCCACTCCGCGCGCGTCCGCACCGTCCTGGCGCGCGCTTGTCACCAAACACAACACGGGCCCGGTTCTCTCTCTCTCGTCGACACCTCCTTGCCTCCTCTGCTCCTCCTCCTCCTCCTCACCACCGCCTCTTCACCTCGCACTTCTACCTCTCCCCCCCACCCCAAACCTCACCTCATCAAGAATGGCCCGCACCAAGGTCAGCCTTCAATCAACTCTTCCTCTCCCTCACAACACCCACACTGACCCGCATCGACTCCTTCCCTCGCAGCAAACCGCCCGCAAGTCGACCGGTGGCAAGGCCCCTCGCAAGCAGCTCGCTGCCAAGGCTGCCCGCAAGTCGGCCCCCGCGGCTGGTGGTGTCAAGAAGCCCCACCGCGTACGTCCGCTCGCATGCAGTCGAGCGCAGGGCATCACGCTGACTCGCCGCCCCTTCGCAGTACCGCCCCGGAACCGTTGCCCTTCGCGAGATCCGTCGCTACCAGAAGTCGACCGAGCTCCTCATCCGCAAGCTCCCCTTCCAGCGTCTCGTTCGCGAGATTGCCCAGGACTTCAAGACCGACCTCCGCTTCCAGTCGTCGGCCGTCATG